CATCAAAAAGTAAAAACCCACAACGAGAAAAAAGTGAGGCGTTGTGAAATGATTAAAAAAAAAAAAAAAGTTTAATGCGCTGATGGAAGAGGAAGCCTGTGCAGTGACATCCCCAATTCCAATTCCAATTCCAATTCCAATTCCATTGCTTTATAAAAACAGATGAATATTTTGATTGCACTATGATTTTGATGATACCCATTAAAAATTTTTGCACAATAATAAATCAAACGCTGTTTAATCATGTGGAGCCTTAGGTGTTGGGAGAAAGAATAATCTTTAATTATTTGCCAGAATAGCATGATGGTTTCCCGTGCGTTGATATCAAACTCAAAAAAAAAAGGGCAAAAAAGAACTGTAGAAAGCATCACTCTCTCATGTGTGGGTGTGCATATGTAATAAGGCAAAAGTCCAAAGTAGTCTGTCTGTAATTATTAATGTATGTCACCAACTCTGCTACATGTAACATTTGAAAATCCTAAAGCTTGATTGCTAATAGATATGCAGATCCTTTTGAAGAAAAGGGGAGGGAGGAGAGGGAAGGGGGCCTTTCTCTTTTAAATATGTACTCATCATTTTACATTTTGACGAATTTTGAACGTGTTTTAAATTAGTCGTGTATAAAAAATTAATTTAAAAATATAAATATATATATATATGATGATGAAGATACAATGACGGTGAAAAAATATATTTGTAATGCAAGAAAATAATTATTTTTAATTAATGGTCAATACAGACACACTAATCTATATCATGCAAACAAAAGAAAATTTCCAAATAATCGCCAAACCAAATTTACATAAATTAACCGAGTAAGAGAACCAACAAATTATCAATAAAGAAATGTACAATTCTATTACATTACTAAAAGTTTCTTTATACACTAATGCACTAATATTTTGTTTTTCTTAATGAAATATATATATATATATATTTTTTTTTTGGTTACTATGTCGGGATTTGATGATCATATTGTATTATTGTCCAAGAAAAATCACAATGGTGGATTTTAATCAAAGTTCCTTGGTTTTTCCTTGATGTGTGCCTCTTTGTCTCTTAAGACCACATGAAGAACAAAGCAAATAAACAAAAAAGAAAGCTCGAATAAATCTTAGAACAGACAACTTCCCCTAAGATATAAAATTATGCAAAAACGCATTATTTTATGACATATAGCACGAAGAAGAAAATCTGTGAAGTAGGAGAGAGAGAGAGAAACGGACAAACAACAAAAGGACTTTTAGAGACCCACCAGACCTTCGTCGTCAAGGCCCACAACAAGACTCCAACAACATAAAAAGAAAAGGAAAAGTCGAAAGAATTGTTAAAAAGACACCATCAACAATTCAACATCCATCTTCCTCTTTTTTTTTTTTTCTTTTTTTCTTTTTTAGATAATAAACCTATTCTATCCTACATAAAGGTGAAAGGACAGGGGACAGATCTAAGGAGGTCCGAGAATAACTCGGAGGGGATTGAATCACCATCGAATCAGACGGGTGCAGAGCACATCGACCTGAATTTTTTAGAAACAAAATACTTAGATGTGGCATTTTTTTGTGTCATCAGCCTTTGGACCGGTGGTTTCAACATCCATCTTCCTCGATCGCGTGAACTTCCACCAACACAACCTCTCGTCCATTCCATACTAGGACCATGCATCACTTTATTTTTTTTTTCCCTTGAGCAAATTGCCCGAATAGTCACCGAACTTTTTGAATCATACAGTTCTGATCAATTAACTTTCAAGAATAACGTATTTACTCGCTAAATTATTAAGAGCGTAAATTTTGAACCATTTTATTTGTTTTACGATTAAGCCTACCAGATCTAAGGATCGCACGAATCACAGGCCATAACCAAATCTGGAAGAAAATAGATTGAATGGTCACACTTTTAATAGTTCAGTAGAAAAATACAGTACTCTTGAAAGTTGAGGGGGGAAAACTATACAATCATTTAAAAAGTTGAATGGCTACCTGTCTAATTTACTCTTTTCCTTTTTCCGAGTCTGGTGCTGTCATTAATTCAGACGAAAGTGAAAGGGGTATTTCAATTTTAGCATAAAGCCACCAATATAAAGACACGCAAGAATTAATTTATTCGAGCCATTGTAAGTTAATCTTTTGGGGGTGAAATAACTACAAGCTGATCTGTTCTTTTATTTTTTTTTTTTTTGACTTCTCAATCTGTGCCTTAAGTGTATACATGCTAAAGCACACCGAAAAAAGAGGAAAAGGGTTCATTATAAGATTCTGTCACCATTCCTACCTCGCTAGAATTTTTATACACTTTTGGAAAATGTAAATTTTAAGCTTTTACAGACAAAAAATAAAATAATTGACAACTAGAAGATCCCATGTTTCTTACCATATTATAAGCCCTTTTTTATTAGTTTCTAAAATTATGGAGAAATACAGATAATTAATTATACAATACCCCTAGTTGAGTATGCGTTTAAAATATATACATATATATATATGCACAGAACCTTAACGAGTAATAGAAAGAGGACATATCAAAAAATGAATATAATTGGGCTGGTGGGAGGTTGAAGAAAATAGCAGTAAACAAATGTTTTATAAGCAGCTGATGAACAAAGGGTACGTCGCTAATTACTCCCCATTTTGCCTGCAGAGCATAAGAAGAGTAAAATCAAGCATAAGTGCCAAGTGATCTGATAATTAAGAAGTTAAATTTCTATAACACAAGAAGCTGGACTTAATTCAGAAGGAGAAGAACACAACAGTTAATTGAAATAACTACTACGTAACATCTTTCGGTAGTGTATCAGACAACCTCCTGGCATTAAACATATGTATGGCTAACATTAGGAAATAATAATAAGTCAATTACTTCTTCGCCCACAAGGCATACTCCTTCTATAGCAAGTTAAAATCTCAATTCATTATTATTATTCAACTCATAAAAAACATCAACTTTCTAACCAATACGCCATGTTTTGTCAAATAGTAGTGAATATTACTGTGCTTAAAAGCTCATTCAATTATCTGAAAACTGGAATTTAACCGCTTTCTCTTTACGCTGAATGGCACTTGCACCCTCCGAGTCTTGTTGTAATTACAGAATCCTACCTTCAAGTTTTAAGAATGTGATGACACCCTTCAAAGACCTGGTATGATGCCAAGTTTTAACCACTCTCCCGTCTAATTGTTGATTTCAGCATTAAATGTGCTTTGAATTTCAAAATTACCATTATGAATACCATTAAGAGGAGAGTCATTGATGACTTAACATGCAGGTGTCGAGACGAGTGACTTTGGGCGAAGAATTATAATGAGGTTGTGTATGGTATTCATTAATATTTGTGTTGTTATCATTTAAGGGTTTTTGTTTTCGAATTTTAACCTACTTTTTTTTTTTATTTTCTCACATGTTATTTGATAAGAAGTAATAACATTTTATTATTATTAGATTGGTAGAGAGTTCAAATTTATCTGCTTAACACCCACTAAAAATTGAGTTTAAATGTATAATTATTTTTACACGGATATAAATATGTGTGCCTAGTCAACTTGCTATCTATCAATTAAATGGGTTTAATTGGATACCCATTCAGATTCATTCAAAATTTCTTGCATATCTAGGTCCACTTATTAGTGAATGAGTTTGGAAGAGTCAATATAATTGAATTGTGATTGATACCTCTACTCACGTGAACAAAATAATTCAACTAGTTGCCTTGGAAAGTAACTCATGTCACTTCTAAATTTTAGAAGAAAGGACTAAGAAATTATATTAAACCCTAACAGAAACTAATTTTACTCTCTATTTGTGATTTAATTCTCAGAATTCTCATTTGATGTCTTGGTCTTTTTTTGGTCCTCAAGCCATTATATATATATATATATATATATATATATGAATAACAAGCTTCATTTATGATGCGTTACTGTTGTGTTTGTGTATGTGTGTGTATATATCTATATATTTTATATATATATATATATATTTTTAAATTATTCAAGAGGGAAGAACTCGAGAGAGCTGAATCAAGAACTTCAATGTCATCTAAACAATGCACCTACAAGTTAAACTAAATCTTGGGACATTGTTCCCTTTTTCTTTTTGTACTAAAAACAATGGTAATGATCCGACAAGTTCCTTTACCATTTTTTCCAAAGCTTCATTCAATCAAATGTAAAAACATCATAGTTCCAAATTACAGAAAATATAAAAGCTCTTTTACCTAGCTTTTCTAACCAAATTTGCTTTTAGAATAAATTTTCAAAATGTATATCAATTCGACCTCTTTAACTAAAAATTTTCAATTGTATGAATTGCAATTTTTATAATTTTTTTTTTGTTGAGTTTCTGAATAAAAATCGACTAAGACATGACCAGTTTATATTTTTATATCACATGCATCACAAGTCAAAAAATAGAGTTATACTATTATTTTTTTATAAAACTCTTCGAAAATGCAATTCAAACAGGCTATACATGGTGACTTGATCACGTAAAATTCTAAATTATAGCACAAGTCTCTAAAAACATTTGTTTGGATAGCAAATTATCTCAAATAATATTTCGTTTACATTATAAAAACATGTCTCAACTCATCTTTTTATATTTCCAACCACTTTTTGTATCTCATATACATTAAATCACAAAAAGTGCTATAGTAATTATTTCAAATTATATTTTTTTAATTAAGTAAAATTTAGATATTAAAATTTCGACGTTAAGAAGTCCAAGTAATATAAATTATCTTTTTCTTTTGCTAATAATAATAATAAAAAAAAAAAGGAGGACTAGGGTGATGTCAATTACTCCATAGATTTTGTCCACGGGCAGCGACTGAGGAGGAGGAGGAGGAGGTGGTGGTGGAGGAAGGGTTTGGAAGCTTCTATTCATCTTAGACATCTACGGTAAAAAGGCGCGTGCCCTTCTGTTACTTCACTCGTGGAGTAGTAGTGGCAGTACTACTCCTCTACGCTCCTATTACTACAAAACTAGAAGCTTAGGAGTACTATTGTCTTTCTTCGTTTCTCACCATTGTATTGTAGTCCTCAGCTCAGCTCAGCTAACCCTTTCACCACTCTCTCTCTCTCTCTCTCTCTCCTCTCTCTCCCGCAGATTCTTTGACAGTTTCACTAAACCCCACCTCCACCCCCAGCTTCCCCCCCTTTCCTTCCTCTCCACACCCCCATTGCTACCATCCCACTTTCTCTCGTCCTTTCATTGGTTCCTCCCACCTCGGAAACTATTAAGAAAACATAAAAAACAAGAAAGAAAACCAGCATCACCACCGGATCACTGCCGGAGTCCTCCATGGACCACCGGCAACAGCCACCCTCTTCTCCTCCACCTCCAGCCACCTTCCCCGGCTGAATGCAAAAACCCCCCCCATGTCAAAGCTACATCATCCCTGAGTTAACAACCCTTCATCAGCAATTCGTACCGATTTCTCTTCTTCTTTAGCACTTTCAAAAACCTTTGCACCACTTAATTTACTCGGAAAAACAAAACCTTTAAAAAAAAAAAAAAACTACTACCATTTTTCCCACATAGTAATACACGTTCAAAACACACACACACACAGAGTTGGGAGTGGAAGCTGGAAAGCGAGAAATAATATTAATGGCTGCAGCAACCAACACTAACACGCAGGCAGCTCTGGAATCAACAACAACAGCAACAGCAACGGCCACCTCGGCATCCCTATCAGCTGATGAACTGACAGCCAAGGCAGTTCACAAGAGATATGAAGGTTTGGTGATGGTACGGACGAAAGCTGTAAAGGGCAAAGGGGCTTGGTACTGGGCTCATCTCGAGCCTATTTTGGTTCACAATTCTGATACTGGTTTGCCTAAGGCTGTCAAGCTCAGGTGTTCCCTCTGTGAAGCTGTTTTTTCCGCATCTAACCCTTCAAGAACTGCCTCTGAGCATCTCAAGAGGGGTACTTGTCCCAATTTTAGTACTGCTGTCAAGTCCATTTCTTCTATGCCCTCCTCATCCACTCCTACTGTCAATTTCATGTCCTCATCGCCTCCTTCTTCCTCCCAAGTACAACAGCCACACCACAACCACCGCAAGCGTAGCGCTGGTGGAGGCCGTGGTGGTGCTGTAAATATTGGCTTGTCGCCGTCGAGCGCTACTCCTACCTCGAGCGCTTATCAAGTTCCACCATTGGCTATTGTTGATCCTTCGAGATTTGCAGTCGAGTTGGCATACCCGCCTATAACTAGTACTGTTGTCGTCACTGCTGCTGCTGCTGCTGCTAGTAGTAGCGGCGGTGGTGGAGGTGCCATGTTTGCTGCTGCTTCTCAACAACAACATCAACATCAGCAGCATTTGATGTTGTCAGGTGGGAAAGAGGATTTGGGAGCATTGGCCAGGTTGAAGGATGATGTGAAGAGGCTGAAGAGTCCTAAAACATCGCATGGTCCGGCATTGAGCAAGAACCAAATTGATTCTGCACTTGACTATCTTGCTGATTGGGTGTATGAGTGTTGTGGGACAGTGTCATTTTCAAGTCTTGAGCATCCTAAATTTAAGGCATTTCTTAACCAGGTTGGACTGCCTGCAATTTCAGGGAGGGACTTTTCCGGGTCCAGATTGGATAACAAGTATGAGGAAGCTAGGGCCGAGTCTGAGGCCAAAATTAGGGATGCCATGTTTTTCCAGATTGCTTCTGATGGTTGGAAGTCGAGGAATTATGGGTATGTGGGAGAGGAGAATTTAGCGAATTTGGCTGTCAATCTTCCCAATGGGACCAGTGTGTTTAGGAGGGCAGTGTTTACCAGTGGTTTTGTGCCCTCAAAGTATGCAGAGGAAGTGTTATGGGACACTGTCACAGAAATTTGTGGGAATAACGTGCAACAATGTGCGGGCATTGTCGCTGACAAGTTTAAGGCCAAGGCATTGAGAAATTTAGAAAACCAAAATCACTGGATGGTAAATCTTTCTTGTCAGTATCAAGGGTTCTGTAGTTTGATTAAGGACTTGAGCAAAGAGCTTCCGTTGTTCAAGAATGTGACTGAGAATTGTTTAAAACTTGCAAATTTCGTCAATAGTAAGTCTCAGATAAGGAACAGCTTTCATAAGTATCAGTTGCAAGAGTATGGACATGCTGGATTACTGAGAGTACCTTTGCGTGGCTTTGAGGGTTCGGATTTTGGGCCTGTTTACACTATGGTGGAGGATATTTTGAGTTATGCACGGGCACTTCAGTTGGTAATACATGATGAGTCGTATAAGATTGTTTCGATGGAGGAACCAATTGCTAGTGATATTGAAGAGATGATGAGGAATCCGCACTTTTGGAATGAATTGGAAGCTGTACATTCATTGGTAAAACTGATCAAGGTCATGGCGCAGGATATTGAGACAGAGAAGCCAAGAGTTGGACAATGCCTTCCTCTTTGGGAGGAACTTAAGTTGAAGGTCAAAGAATGGTGTTCTAAGTTTCATATTGCTGAAGGGCTTGTGGAGAAAATAATTGAAAGGAGATTTAAAAAGAACTATCATCCGGCCTGGGCTGCTGCATTCATTTTGGATCCTCTGTATTTGATCAGGGACACTAGTGGGAAGTACTTGCCACCTTTCAAATGCTTGACACCAGAGCAAGAGAAGGATGTTGATAAACTCATTACCAGGCTTGTATCTAGGGAGGAAGCTCACATTGCATTGATGGAGCTCATGAAATGGAGAACAGAAGGACTTGATTCTGTTTATGCCCAAGCTGTACAGTTGAGACAGAAGGATCCTAACACGGGGAAGATGAAAATTGCCAATCCGCAAAGTAGTAGGCTTGTATGGGAAACTTATCTTACAGAGTTCAAGTCCTTGGGGAAAGTTGCAGTCAGACTGATTTTCCTTCATGCGACGTCCTGTGGGTTCAGATGCAATTGGTCTTTATTGAAATGGATGAGTGCTCATTCCCATTCAAGGGTAGGCATGGACAGGGCTCAGAAGTTGATCTTCATTGCAGCTCATTCAAAGCTTGAGAGGCGGGATTTTTCCAGTGAAGAAGATAGGGATGCAGAGCTCTTTGCTTTGGCTAACGGTGAGGACGATGTGCTCAATGATGTTTTTGTTGATACTTCCTCTGTGTAACATTCATTGTTTCTTCTCTTTTCTATCATTCTAAATTTTCTAGAATTTTTAATTAATTCTTTCTACAACTCGGTAGTCCTACTTTTGTTTCTTTAAGAAGATTTCGGCGCAGTTGGTTGAAAGAGAGGAGGATATTATTTGATGTTATCAGCAATTCCTTATGGAGGGTAACTTCTTGTTTGTAAAGATAAGTCATGAATAGAGTTTGCAGGATAGAAAGGATGATGTAACATTTTTGTTCCTTCATTAATTTGGAATGAAAACCATTTATAGCGAATTTCTTTCTTTTTGCCATGTGTTTTAGATCAAACCTTATTGTCTTCATAAAATTTATTACTTGTTCATTTTGTGCTGTTTATGTTTCTCTTCAGCATTGATGAACTCTCTCTCCTTGATTTGGCTTCTTGTCAAAAATTTCTGATCTGCTTTCCTACCTCTTTTGTGCTTTGCACTTCAGCTGCAGCTGAAACCTATTTACGCTCTTATGAGCTTTAGACTGGACAGAGCACTTTTTTTGGAACGAGTAGCTTCATAAAACTTGATATTTACCCAGCCATATTTTGCTGTCTTTTAAGTTTGTGCCAGAAATGTTTCTGTCAGAAAAATTGCAAGATCACTGAGTTCTTAACCCCTCAATCCTTCCTTATTTTGAAAGGTGTTAGACCTCTTCTGCTAAGTAATCTTGTATTCAATACAACACCTTTTCAAGTTCGTCTCTGTTTCTGGTAGTTCAAGATCACAATTCCTGCTATTTTGAGAAAGTCTCAGAATCCCTCAATCCAACGGGTTAATTTTCCTATTTAATGATGACACTCTTAAACGAACTTGCGTCAATTCTCTTGATGTCCATCCTAAAAGGGTCATCCAGATTGAAGGTAAGTATTAGCTATAGTCTTTCTTCCCATTCCAGTTTCCCGTGCCATCATGGAATAGGGAACCAGTTTCCTGCAAATCTAACACCACTCCGAGCAAGTGATGGTTTTCTGGACAAAGGAGGAAGGCAAGGAACTGTAATACAACTGTAATATTGGGTGAGTTTTCATAACTAGGAGTGGTTTTTGTCCTTGTCAATAGCTTCATCTTCCTTTTTGAATGATATGCCTTTCAATTGCCTGCTAAAGTTGTTTGCCCTTTGTTACCAAAATGATATATTTACACAGATCATATGCATAGTGTACAGAAATCCTTCAGTCTGACTTCCATCCCATACAAACAAGATTCTTAATTTACTTGCTGTGTTATTCCCTGTCTTTTGAACAACTATTCATTTTTGCCAGAATGGTAAGAGAGATGACATTTGTCTGCCTCTTGACAGCTCTAGTTCGGTTTAATTGTCTTGTCTAGATAAATTTATCTTGCGGTTATCTGAAAAAGGATGCTAGTTTTATCCTAATGGAATATTTTCACCTCTGATGGCAGAAGCATTTGCTGGGGACAATTTCAGACCAGAGAGACCGCCATAGGATGCCTGGTTGGTAGTGAAACGGTGAGATCATGATTTAAAAGGAGAATTTCACGTAGAGGATCCAAGAAAGGGTATGATTTGAGTTTCACGGTGTTCTTCTAAAAAGGCCAGAGTGCACTGGATCCATGTGGTGGCAAAACAAAAATTTGCAACTAGGGTCAACCTATCAGACTTGCTATTTCATGATTTCCTATGAACTTCCAGCTTTGACAAGGCTGGAGCCCCACAGGAAAAGCAGTGCAGTGGAAGTCGATTTCCAATTTTTGGTGGTTATGGTCCTTATGGGGAGAGAGAGAAAAAGGGCTCTTAAGTTAAATCATCTTTGGTTAACCTCTCTTTTAAACATTTCAAAGCTTGTGATGTTCATGCAGAGTCATCGGATGATGCTCCCCATGATTGCTGAAAAGGTTGTGAGAGGACCCAAAGCAGAAGAAGCTGTCGGCATGAAGCAATACGGAAGATGCTTGATAGTGATTTGGCAACAAAGGGTAACTAATTTTGCTGGTTCCAGATAGCTTTGAGAAACAAAGAATCATCATTATTCGGTAATGGTATTATAATTTTTATCCACATATTTTCCTATGTCAGTTCCCATGATGTGATCATCATACATCATAATGCTGTTAAATTTCAATCTTACAGATGACTAGCGTTTCAAATAATGCCTTCTGTTTTGTTGTTGCAGTTTTAATCTTATATAGATGACCTGACTGGTGTTTCATTTCATTGTTGCTACAGAAGCCTGCTTTTGATTAGTTTTAAACGATGAATTTGCAGGGAGAAACAAAAAAAAAAAAAGGGGTTGTTGCTGTTGTCACCTTTCGAAAGAGTTGGTTCATTTAATATTGAAATTTATTGGTTGAAAGATCTTCGCATTTCATAGTCAATGCTAGAAGCAGGGATGCACAGACGTATGCTGTTGTTATGTTTTTGGTATGGCTGGCTAGAATGTTTTACGAAAAGAAAATTGCTGATGCTATTTCATACTCCTCTATCACCATGGAACCTTTTGGTTCATTAATTAAGGTTGTGAGAACTATAGCATAATAGAACCACAACTTCACAAAATCATTCACAATTGTGAAGGTAGGTATATATATGTATGTATATATGCCATAATATGGCTCTCTCCGTAAACATGTGGTTTTTCTCCTGATCTTTTCTGGAAAGCCAATATTTTTCTTGGTTTTTATGCACTGCAAGTTTTGTGGGCTGTTGCAGAACTCGGTACCTTCACTCGAATTGTCATCAACCGGTATGATATTTTTTTTTTTTTTGTTTGGGGGTACTGGAGTGGAGAAGGTGGTGTAGTTGTCAACAAACGATGCTTCCATCATAACACATGAAGCATCATTAGATTCCTCAAGTCTTCTCTAACCCCTGCCTCTGCTGCAGTGCTGAGTAGCATGGTATCATCAGCTAAAGCGAAGCATTTTCCCAATAATGGAAAGCTGACTCTGACAATTTTACGTCTCTTCTTCGTTAGTAGTAGTAGTAAATAGTGAACTACTTACTACCAATCAGTAGTATCTTTTTTTTCCTTTGTTTTTTTTTTTTTAATGGACGACTAGGTAGTAGTACTAGACTAGTAGTTATTTTCAAAAGAAAATTATGCTGTATCATATGATATGATATGATATCCCTCACTTTTTTACGAGCCCCACTCCCCACTGAGCTTTTTGAATGTCACGCACTCACATTATCGTACTGGATTATGTCATTCCCAAATTTTATACCCAAACTAACAAATGAAAAAAAACGCATGTAACTAATATCTAACATCCAAATACCTACACATTAAACGTATATATGCAAGATTAAATAAATGGCGTACGTATTTGACACCGAACATTAAGAAATGACGTACGTATTTGACACCGGACGAGATTAAATATACATATGATAATTAAAAAAAAAAAGCCCTCCATCAAATAGGTAGAAATAGGTGAAATTAATTGAAATGATGAATTAGTCGTATTAATTTTTTTTTTTTTTTTTTTGGTTGAAAGGTGAGGTAGGAAGAGCGGGGTTGAAATGAGTAAAAGGAATGGGAATTGCATAGATTTTTAGAGGATGGTGGTACCAACTTGGGTTGTGTCATGTAATTTGCTTGTTTAGTGGAAGGACAAAAATTCTTGTCGGCAGAGATTAGTTACAGGGTCTAAACGAAAAAGGTTAATTAACAATGACCACTCACCAACTAAATTAAAGACAGACCACTGTACAATTCTCGCTTTTTGGAGACTGATGATATTTTTTAACCAGTATGCCTATATGCTATGCATCACTCCACTCACCCAACCAAGATAAAGGAGGTATAATCATTGATGTAGGACGACATTTTTCTCTTTCTACAAGAATCTTTTCCCATCCAATGCTCCTTATAATCAACTCTCTCTTCTTTTTTCTTCTTCTCAATCTCATCTTCAATTACCTAACCTCTCACTTATTCCCCTCATTACCACCCCCTTTTAGGTGATGGTATTGTTCGTCTTCCTTGAAAGTTTTGGAAGCAAGTTAAGTAAATTTGCTTTGTACAAAGGGCGAAGACATTATTATTTAATTAAACAAATATATAGGACATTTTCCCCTAATAAGTTATCAAATTTTGGTCCATGTAACCAAGGAGACGAGCTTCTTCTTCTTCTTCTTCTTTTTCTTTCTTTTATTTGTATGTATATATGTACCACATTAAATTTTGCAAAGCAACTGCTTGTTGTTACCGCTGGTCATGATTAATATGGTACCAATGCAAATTCAATTCGTCCAAGGGAGATGTCAGCAAATTAGGGGTCTCTATCACGTTTATTCAAAAAAAAATTTTTTAAAAAAAATATAGAAGATGCTTTCTTTAGAAAAGGCAAAGCAAGATACGGAGGTGTCTACTTTAATTTTGTACTGTTGTTTCACATGGTACGTACGCTACATATGATATTTTGCATGTTTTCTTGTGTGGGCTGTGACCAAATATTAAGGAGTAGTTAGCTGCTCTTTGAACTTGCAGCCACAAAGTCCTCTCTCTTTTATGTTTGTCCACCAAACCCCAACCCCACTTGCTTCTCATTTACCAAAACCTTTAATTATTTCTAGTTCCTTCCTCCCGTACTAACTGGACTGGACTGGACTTGCTGCTCCTCCCCCTGCCTTCTTTGCCTTCTCATTGGTTCTTCTTCTGCCCACATTCCAATTTCATCAATTTCAATTCAAAGTCCAACGCGCTCCGGCCAGCCACCTCCCCAGAAAACTACACTACTCGTACCTGCGTAGTAGTATTTATTATGAATTTCTGTCCTGGTGGTAATTTTCAAGTTTGACATTTGATTGCCTCTTGACCGACCATTAAATATTGAATTCATTTGTGTAGCTGGGTGCCATTAATTTGTGTGCGCATCTGTGTGTGAAAGTGAGCACCTCCATCCATGGCCATGAATGATGATGGATCCACGTAAAATCTACTCCCTCCCTTTTTTTTTTATAACTTACGTTTAAGAAATTTGCTCTTAAGTACTTTTATCTATCGTTGTATTATTTTCATGCAGCATTAATTATTTTTTCACAATTTTACCCTTTTATCTCTCTTTACCAATACAGGGCTCTTAATTACTACTCCTAGTAATTATTACTTCTCTCTTTACTTTTGGCCTAGTAAAACAGCATCATTTAATACTCTAGTGATAAAATTAATGAGTGAATTGGACAATTAATGAGGGTACAAAAGGAAAGTAGTGTATAGATTTCAACAATGAAAAACTTTTCTTAATTGGTGTGCAAAATCTTAAACGTCAGTTATAAAAAAAGGGAGGGAGTATATCTATATCTTTATGTCATGTCAGCCCAAGGATGTGGCATGAAATACTACTGTACACATCCCCGATTTACTTCTTATAAATCATGCTGCTACTAATACATAGTGGTACTATATACTACTAAAGAAAAGAAGATTGGGGATTGGTTGTTACTAATAGAGACGAATGTTGACCGGACCGTGGATAGCAGGAAAATGAGGGTCGACGGATGGACCAGTCAAAGCAATATCGCTCGTCAAGTAGTAGTGCTCCATATCACTACAACTATTTTGGTGGTACACATTGTGGACCACCATCCCTCCCACGAACAAGAATAATGCAGAACTTTGATGTATTTGGAATCATGGTGGCCGCGGAACGTAAGTTGAAAGTTGTAACTCTCTGCTGCCTTGGCTACCGAATCTCTTGGTGTACGTCTGTTTTTTCGCGACGTGCATTGTACTACTTCAAACTGATTATAGGTTTTTTTTACTGTCTACAAGAAGGGTATCTCAGAATCACCAGAACTAATCCCCTAGGGGACAGAGTTCGTCCCAAAGATGCCCAACAACGATAGCAAGTAGGTGTCGAGTCTGGGATTTTACTATAAAGACAGACGATCGAAACCTGTCGAGCTACCCCCGCTGGGGGCTAGTATATTGCATGCTATATTTGCTATTATTAGCAATTGTTTTTTCGTATTTTTGGGTTGGAAATTAAAAAGACCGTAATATAATTAAACCAAATCAGTTACAGTCATTCGAGGGAAACATAGTTCTAAAGGTTTGGTTATCAAAATATCAAATTTTGAGAGGTAAATGTAATTCTTAAAACTTCAGAAGGGCACAGTAAAATTAATAGAAACCTAATGAAGGTTTGTGAAATTATCCCTTTATAAATTAAGGGGCATAGTCAAACAAACAAAGTCCCTGTCCCTCTCCTGTCCTGCTTGGTTCCCTCCTTGGCCAATAAGTTTGCAATGTTGTTCGCCTCCAAGTGACCAACTACTCCTAGAGAAGTAAAGTAGTTGGCCAACAATAGAACCTTAAGACTCTACTTGAATGTTGATCAAGGGATCGAATCTCTTGATATATATTCTAGTATCATGTTTTGCAAATGGGTGAGTAGGCACTCGTTCAAGTTGGTGGTGGTTCAGTCCCTGCTGTGTTACCTCTTGATCCCTTTGAGTCCTCCTTTTCCTTAATATATAGTAGGAATAAGTGTTGTATAAAATATATCGTGTCTAGAAAAAAAAAATTGCTATTTGCCTCCCAGTATACATGATCAGTATTAGTTTGGGCACGTGCCAATTGGTAATTGTTGATGTCAAGAATTTTGTATGACTATATCAAGATCAAAGGACTACAAAGTGGCCAAAGAAATAAAGAACACTTATATTCACTCTTTTATTCTAAGAGCATGTGATGCATCGGTGTATAACCTTCAACATAAAAACCCAAAAACGAAGAAACGTGAATATTGGGATAGTGTATTATTTGAAATATTATTTGGAATAATTACTGTAGCATTTTTTTGTGATATGATGTATGTGAGATAAAAAGGTGATTGAAAATATAAAAAGATAAGTTGAAAAATGTGTTTGTGATACAAGCGAAATATAATTTGAAATAATTGGTATCCAAACACTCCGAGCTTATAGCTATTGTTATTTATATTTTTGTTACAACTGGAACATGTGTTAGAATATTGTAATTTATTTCATAGTATTCCAGAGTTTGATTCAATTTAACATCCAATGGAGCAATGTGAGAAAGAGGACCAAAAAAAAAAATTTTTTTGGAAGGAGTTTATTTTATTTTAATTAACCCTTCTTATATTTTTGGGTAAAAGATTGTACGGAATACTCCAATTAAATAGGCCTACAATTGTATCAAGTGGTCATGGGAACTGTGGCCCAAGGGATTACTTTCAGTTCAGGCCTCGCGAGTCACGTGCCGGCTTAATGTAGTACAGCACATTCATGGGACAAGTCACTGTTGAATAACTAAATTCAATACAATACATAAATTTAATGAATTCAATTTTTTTAAATGTTGAAATACGTTTTATAATTAAAAATTAAAATTAAATACCTGAATTAATTAAATAATACATAATTTGTTGGACAAAATTTGTTTTTAAAAACAAATAATAAGATATTTATTTATCACTTAATATAATATACACTCAAATATATTACATTTAAAACTTAATAATTTAACAATTTAATATATTTATAATTTAGATATCAAATTTTAAATTTGAACTTTCAGACTTCGATAACCAATAATTAAAATTCACATTTTAATTGAAAAGAACAAAAAGAAATCCACGTGGTCAAAGTGTTGTGTCCGTACAGACGACGTCATGAGCTTCTGTTGTTGTGTGATGATGTCACTTGAATGTCCGAATAAATATCACCAATATTGCTGAACCCCAAAAAAAGTGGGGGAAAGAAATGACAAAGCTAATTCTCATAAGATTTTACTCTAGATTATCTATGAAAAAAAGTTATATTTACTTTACTTGTAAACTACTTTGACAAGAAAATCGACTAATCTAACGAGATTTAGAAATCTTGTACATATACACATGCAGAGTCATGTGGTTGGCAGATTTATGCTTAGCTTACTCTAAAAGTTGATTAATATTCGGTTCCATTTGATTACAAGATATAAAAATTTGCTAAGAACATGTATTATATCCTGGTTGTAGAATTTTAAAACTGAAAGTAATTTCTTTTTGGAAAAAGAACCCAGAAATGTAGGAATATTTGTTGTATTAACCCTGATTTCAGCTTACGCTTTGAAAGTATATAATTCAATTAAATCTTGCTAAACTTAATTTCCGATATGTTAATTATAAGGGAAAATCTTTCAAAACGTTATTTACATTTTGTGAAATAAAAATTTTTATTATTCACTTTTAAAATGGTAATTTTATATCATTTACAAAATCAAGTCAGTAAAATTTAGTATCAACCTATATTTTTAATCACTTCTAATCTAAATTCATCTCATGACCCACAACATAACCTTTTTTTAGGGGAATAAGCTTACATTCCAATTATAGTTAAACAAATGACCCTCTCAATGTTTATTTTTGCCTCTAAAAAAAAAAAGGATGTAACTCGAACCATAATCATTTTTTATCTGGGAAAAAAAAAAGAGATCTTTCATTTTTTGCTACTAAAAAAGTGGGATCTGACTCTTTTTTTTTATCACATAAAAAAATGGCTAATTTCAAGCTAAAAAGCGAGTCATGTGGTGATTTCAAACTAAAAAGCAATTGAAAACTTATATTGAGATCAGATTTTTACTAGTTTGAATTTTATTTTAAAAGTGAAAGTCGAAAAAAAAAATCATTTGATAAAATGTGATCATAAACGATATTCCCATCTTATAAATACTAGTAAACAAATTCCCGGTAACAAAAAAGTCTTTCATCTCCTAATTTTGCACACACACTCTCAATCGTGCAAACGGATAGTTTTATGACTTTTTATCACCTCTCTACTTTTGGGGTCACATTATGATGGTGGCAGTTAGAAAATTGTTGGTATATTTTCTAGTATGCAGAATATTAAAAAATGTCACAAGTATGGAGTAGCTTACGTTCCTACTAGCACGTGAGGACATTGAGCACAACCCAGGATCTCCTGCAACAATACTCAATGTGGGCTCCCCCCCCCCCGGCCCCCCGCCCCGGCGGCGCGGCAACCACCACAGTCCTCACTCAACTTGAGTAGGAGTAGGATACTTTTAATTTTTAGTTTGAACTTAGCTTTCATAACAACGAACGAAATGATTGCTGCCATTCTTTTTTTCTCCTTCGTCTCATCTAATTCGCTATCACTGCTGTAATTAGTGATACTAATCTCTTTCTCTGGTTCTATAATTGCACGTACTTCAAACACTTTTTCCCTAGATTTAATAAAATTCAAAAATACCAAAAAAAAAAAAAAATTTGACTCGACATGTGTTGGCTTAGTTGGTCCACACAAAACCAAAGATGCCAAAGCTAATCAAATAAATAATAGTCTAGTAGGTGTAGTATGTGCGGGTATATGATTTGTTTGATAATAATGTAGCTGGTTGACAAAGGAGGATTTGCTTTTTGCTCACCTTTTTTGGGATTAGATGAGATCTCCAATTAATTTTACATGGGCAGCATTATTTAGCCTTCATCTTTTCCCACACTTTTTCAGCGGTCAATCATACTTTTGGTTTGATTATTCCTTCGCATAATAATACCATCGGTGCTAGGTGTATAATTGTACACGTAACGGAGCAATATCAAACCAATAATTTTGGACCCCCCCCCCCCCACATAAGCTTTTTTCTTTTCTTAGCCATCCCGTGATTACCCTCCCCTGGACCGCGATGCAGCGTCATGATGGGAGGACAAAACTGTCCTCCTCTGTGGTTTAAAAATAATAATAAGATTAGGTGGGCATGTAATTAGATGTTTATTGGGTTGCTTACTACAAAAGAAATGAGATGTGGCGTACCAGGACCACAAATGTGTTAGCTCATCTAATGTTTCACATGTGAGCACATACAGTACAAAAGCAAGCAAAAATACGCCAAAAATAAAGGAAGATACACACGCCCCTCGCTTTCGGTGATGATGAGGACAGCGTCTCTCAATCAATTGCCAACAATTGTAGGAGAAAGTAACCGCACATTATGGTTTTTGGTTCTACACACGAGATAATTTGCTTCTTAGGAGGCTGAATGAAAAAATTTGAAGTTTGAACCTAAGTAAGTTACTAAAGTGTTACGCATTAAAATGTTATCATTCGAGTATATTTTGTGTTAAGTGACGAGTGTATAGTTTATCACTTGTTTTTTAGAATAGATTTTGTTTAGAAAATTCAATATCACTTAATTTATTAAGTTATATATTCTTTTTTTTTTTTTTTTGTTATCATACCCATTTCGACAATATTAAAATCTGAATCCATTAAATTGAAATGTTAAATTGGGTTATTAAACAGGGCCACATGGTTAAAGAATTGGGCCAAAAGTAATGGGCATGTACATAGATATTCGGTCACCTAGTGGGTTCCAGCGTAGAATCAAGGGCCGCCCGATAGGTATCTTCCGTCAGTAATCCAATTCACCACTAAAGATGCGCGATCAAATTTGCTCATCCTGTTTGATATTATTACCCATTGGGCTTTTCAATGTTAAAGGGAAAGGGCTTTTGACAACTATCTATACTTGGATTTTAAAAAAAATTATATTTAGTACTATGACAAATTTTTTTTTTTTGGAACACGATAGAATCTATTCTAGACGGGGAATTCGGAAAGGACTGAACTACCATCGGTCCAGACGGGCGCATGACAAACTTTTTTAGAAAAAATCTATAGTTTTTAGAATGCAGACCAAGGGATTTGCTCCCAAGTAAAATTTTTAAACTCTTTTGATGGTCAACTAAACTTGCTACTATAACAATTTATTTTGCATACTCAAACATAGAATCATGAAGTCGACTGACAACGTAATTTACGAAAAATTAACAATATATTCTTCCATCGAGCATCTCTACAAAATCGTCTAATTTAAATTGAAGGGAGTAAGAAAAAAAAGGTAATTCACTCGGAAGATAAAAATGTTTGAATAGAGACTAGAAGTAGCCATTTAAAACAGGGAGGAAGGAGAAAAGAGAGGAACTCGAACCTAAATGTACAATTGTAATATTGTGGATATAAATATTTGACCATGGAGAACGAACATAATAGCTAAACCTTAACCTTTCTCCTTTTTCGCCCTTAGTGTCATCACTTCAATAAATTAATAAAAAAATAAAATAACAAACAATGCAAGTAAACGAAAGGTCTGTTTGGATTGATTTTTTTTAAAAATATTTGACTGTAGTGTATGAAAAACTTTTTACTGTAGATGTTTTTTTCATGAAGTTTTTGAAGGTCTTTTTGGGATATATTTTAAGATATTTTTAAAGTTTAAAAATTTTTGTATTATTTTTAATCCACCATCATCACCACCTCTCTTTCTTTCTCTTTTTCTCCTCCTTCATCTCTTTTCTCCTTCCATCTTCCTCCTCTCTTTTTTTCCTCCCCTTCTCCTTTCCCCTTTCCCTCCTTTTCCCTGCCATGCCTCACCTTTCCCTTTTCCCTCTTTCTCGATTTGGCCGAGACTAGATCGAAACCTTTGGTCACGATATTATGGCCAGATTATAGGAAGAGGAAGGGAGGGGTGGGGTATGGCAGGAAAGGGGAAGGGAAGGTGAATGGAGAGAAAACAAGAGAAAGAAGAAGGGGTGAGGAAAGAGGAAAAAGGAGAGGATGGTGGCGATGGTGGGTGATGGTAATAGATGAAAGAAAAAAATGGTATAGATTTTATTTTTTATTTTTTTTTTTGTATATTTGGAATTGTTTTTGATATATTGTATGGATGTGGTATTTTTAAAGTTGTTTTTATTTACGTGTTACTGTAACATTGTATATGAAAAACCTATTTTTCAAAAAATAGGAATCCAAATGGAGTCGAAGTTTTTTTTACCAATAATAAAAAAAAGACACAAATTAACTAAGCCAAGACATTTATTCCTGTTTCTTTTAAAAATTTACTAGTAAAGTAGTAGTACTAGTTTGTTGTGCAAAGACGGAAAAATGAAAAAAAGTTATTAGCGGGAAATTCTTTTGTTAAATTCTTAAAAGTTATTTCGTACTAAATAGATCTTGGATGAAAAGCCGTTACGTGCCCGATTTTAAACCACAACCGTCAACCGTTTATTTTCCCTCCATTTCTGCAACCTGCCCGAACCGATTCCCCGTTTCTTCCTCCTCGGCCACGCTAAGCCATTTCCGGTTAACCTCCGCCGCCATTAACCACCACCATCAATGGCCAATTCAATGGCATCAATTCAGCAGGGTCGAATCCGAGTTCTGAAACAGGCATCAGGGCCATCCATTGACCGGGAGAAACTTAAGGGTCCAGTTGTCTACTGGATGTTCAGAGATCAACGGCTGCGAGATAACTGGGCTTTGATCCACGCAGTTGATCAAGCAAATAAGGCCGACGTACCCGTTGCCATAGCTTTCAATCTATTTGATTCCTTCTTGGGTGCCAAAGCCAGACATCTGGGTTTTATGCTTAGAGGCCTTCAAAAGCTTCATCAAAATCTTCAAGGAATGTCTCTCAATATCCCCTTTTTTCTGTTTCAGGTACGACCAGTTTACCCGTTGAAGATTTTAAGCCTGACCCGTTTGAGATCGTTGATATAGCACTTGTGTAGTGTACCCTGATCTGATTTTAATAAGTTCCATATTCAGTTTGTGGGTTTGGTGATCCAAGTAGTTTTTGACCCAATTATGATAATCAAAGAGAATATAGTTATTCATCATCCTGCAGTTTTTCTGTAAGCTGCAATTTAACTTTGTCGGTATGGTGGCTTTGTGTAGTGTGGAGGCAAATTGTGGATTTGTCCACCACAACACCGTTTTGGAGTTAAGGGTGAGCCCTTGAAATCCTGGTAGTGCTTTCGGAGGCGCCTCCCCAGGATTTGATCCCTAGTCCCTTGTATAAGGGGTCTTGGGGATGTTTCCTGGTACCACTTGAGCTAACCCCGAGACGATGCCGAGGTGGACAAATCCACAATTGGCCTCGCATGTAGCACTAGTCATAGCTCAGAGTTGGCTTTTAGCATAGGTGTAAGAATGTTGCTATGGAATTTCATAGATTTTGGTTTAAAAAGTTGGTGCTATGGAATTTCATAAATTTACAGATTTTCCCACATGGATGACTGGTTGGAGTAAGTGAGCGAGAAAATCAGTAGGGATTTCAGTTAATGGGCTCTGTTGCTTTATTTGGTCGCTGATATAGTGATTGAGAAATGAAAATCTGGAGGGTTCAAAGTTCAAACTAGTTCTTGGACGATTAGAGATTGAAAAGACTTAAACTTTATGCTGAAGTAGTAAAAATTTTACATTTTGTTTAACTGGGGCAGGACACGTGAAGAATAGCTGATTGTCATTGTAAAGAGTAGCCCTACTGAGATATAAGGATCATATATTTCAGTGTCTCACTTGTTAAGTTTGTCTTCTAAAAAACAAAACCGTATTTATTTGATGGTCGTTACTAGTTGGATAGTGAATTTCGTGTGAGGATTGGCAGACAGTATTGAATTATACATCTGTACATAAGCAGACAAATTAATGGGTTCAACAATTTCAGACTGATCCTTTTGTGGCTTGGTTTAACTAGGGGGAAGCACTGGACACAATTCCCAATTTTTTGAAAGAATGCGGGGCTTCACTTTTGGTGACAGACTTTTCACCCTTAAGGGAGGTCAAGAATTGGAAAGAAACAATTACTGAGAGGTTGGAAGATTCAGTATCAGTTCATGAAGTTGACGCACACAATGTAGTGCCTATTTGGGTGGCATCTGATAAATTGGAATATAGTGCTAAGACCATAAGGGGTAAAATCAATAAATTGCTTCCTGAGTACCTAATTGATTTTCCAACACTAGGGCCTTCAAAAAGAAAGTGGCCTAATCTGCATCATTTTATAGACTGGGATAAACTAATTGCAGATGTTGTAAGGTAAGATGCTCTTAAAAATTTTAATGAATTGTTGATTTTGCTCTAGTTTGAGGTAGGAGTTTCTGCACTTCTGACTATATGACCAGGAAAGGAGCAGAAGTTCCTGAAATTGCATGGTGTGAACCAGGTGAGGATGCTGCTATGGAAGTATTGATGGGGAGTAAAAATGGGTTCTTGACTGCCAGATTGAAGAATTATTCCATGGATCGGAATAATCCGCTAAAGCCCAAAGCACTCTCTGGTCTCTCCCCTTATCTGCATTTTGGGCAGATAGCAGCACAGCGGTGTGCCTTAGAGGCACGCAAAGTTCGGACACTATCTCCACAGGTTTTCAATGGATTTAATTGATGTTGTGTTGACACCTAAGATGTTTTACATCAGATTTATTTAATGTTCTTCTCCTCACTGGCATAGTTGATCACTCAATTTTATCATCCAACTGGATAATTCATGTATGTTCATTGATTGTGAAATTTAGTGGTGCTGCTTGCCTGGATTTGTTTTAACTGTGCGTGTCTAGCTGCCTCGTTATGCTGCAGTTTATTTTTGTATACGTCTCTGGTTGAATTTTCACACGAAGCTCATTTGGTACAACCTGCTGCTTTGAAGGGAGTTGACACATTCTTAGAGGAGTTGATTGTACGCAGAGAACTAGCTGATAACTTCTGCTTCTATCAGCCCCATTATGATTCACTGCAGGGGGCATGGGAATGGGCACGCAAGACCTTGATGGATCATGCTTCTGATAAACGTGAACATACATACACGTAAGTGAGACTGCTATTGATGTGTTATACACACTACAGGTTTCTAATACTATTGATCAATGACTGCCATCTGCTGTATAAGATTAATAGTTTTGAGACCACTGCTTTTGCAGGATGCAACAATTGGAGAAGGCACAAACTGCAGACCCTGTAAGCTACAAGATATCAATTTGGATATAGTAACTCAGAATAGCAATAAACCTTTATGGTGCTTTTATACACAGCCATAATGTTCTCTGATTATTGACTCAATTTTGTGCTGACTCACTTTACTGACCTGCAGCTCTGGAATGCTTCTCAATTGGAGATGGTTCACTATGGGAAGATGCACGGTTTTATGAGGCAGGTTTTTCTGATGTTGCTTGCTCTGGACTGTTACCGTTGTGGTTTCTCTCATCCTTTGTATCTTGTTTTGTTTTATCCTCTCTTTCTTTTCTTTTTTTTTTTTTGGTTTCAAAATAATTTGCAGAATGTACTGGGCAAAAAAGATTCTCGAATGGACAAGTGGTCCTACAGAAGCTCTTGCAATTGCTATAACTTTAAATGACAAGGCAAAATTCTGACAAAAAATACTTTGTTAAAATTCTGATCATAGTACAAGATCTGAACCTCATCGACTTTTATCTGCAGTACGAAATTGACGGGAGGGATCCAAATGGTTATGTAGGCTGCATGTGGTCAATTTGCGGTGTACATGACCAGGTTGGTAATCTGAACCTTCTTCTGGCATTTTACTTTGGTAATCCTGAATTGCATGCCAATGCCCCTTAGTTTAGATATGCTTAGTGTTACCAGAGATCCTATTCCAACGTTCGCTGCATTCTCAACGATATGTGCTTGTGTTGTCTACACACTACACACAGGGTTGGCGGGAGCGTCCAGTTTTTGGGAAAATAAGGTATATGAACTACGCCGGCTGCAAGAGGAAATTTGATGTTGATGGGTACATTGCATACGTGAAAAGATTAGCAGGTGAGAGTAAGAAAAGAAAGGCAGAAATCTAGCTGAACCATCAGCAGGCAAAGGAATTGTGCCAGTAGCATTTAGATTGTGTGTTTGCTCGAGGGTATTCGTGTTGTGGGCTGGTGGAAACTGTTTCGAGTCTCATTATCCGGAGCGATTTACAACCCTTTGGTGGTTTCTTTCGTTTGTAGATTTATCTCTCGAGCTCTTTCAAATATCTGTTCATGTGTAGCTTTGATTTTCTTGTTCAAATCGAATTCTTCGACTCCCTGCTGGGAGAGGAGGATTACATTGACTCAAATATTGTGCTTCTCTAACCAAAATGTAAAGCAAACAAAATCCCTCAACTTCAAGCAAGGACCAAATAATAATAAGGCCAGCCGGAGCGTCAATCTGCAATTGCATGAATTTCAGCGCACCAAATAGCGTCACTGTGTTTGGGGCTCTACAATGCGAAGGAAGTTGTTCAATACGGAAAGCTAGAGATGTTTGCCGATTTAGTAATCACTATATCCAAAGTGATATGTTGCCAACGGAATGTCACGAAAATTAAAGACAAGAATTTGGCAAGAACAGAACCATCACCCTTAAAAAGAGAGCAAGGAGAGACTTCTTAATCGCTAACACACTCGACAACACAAAAAATGGGGCCTTGCATGAAATGAATGATATTTATACACACGGACTGATTGCTTCCTAAAAAGTCAAAAGTGGTATTTTCCATGGAAAGAGAATGATATTATACATGCCGATTGCTTCATGGCTTTCAAATCATCACTTACAAGTTGCAACACAAGCCAGGAAGCAATTCAAAGGGAAGGAGAACGACACAGCCCAAATAATACACGACACATTTGCAATAGCAAACTTAAGACGACCAAGGGATGACCTATTCGTAGCAAGCGAAGAGCAGGCATGGGAAAAATCGTTTGACCACCTTGTACCCCTCATGCTGACTATATCTGAAGATCATCTAACGATATCTGAAGATCATCTAACGATAAGTCTTGTGCAGTCAACAGCTTCAATTTCTGCCACATAAGAAATGTGATTAGCCACCAACAAATAAGCAAGTATAGTTTGTTTAGTTTTATATGGATTCCAGTAGGCAGTCAGTACATTAAAAGTAGGACTAGAAAAAAAACTCGAGGCTACGTCTGTTTAATTTGTGAAATCTCATTCTCCATTTTCCACTTTCCAATAAAAAATAACTCTTTTTCCCAAATGTCTTATTACAGTTTAAGGTCTGTAAAGGTCTCTAAAGTAGAAGCTAAAACTTCAATAAGACCACAAATTGCTTGTGCTTATTTTATACGAGTCCCATGGCCACATATGAACCGCACTAATTAGACGATGCATCACCAACTAGTGAATCAGTTTCGAATAAAACAAAATCTCTAAAACACCAAGACAGCAAGAAACGTTATCAAGTTTAAACATATTTTAGTCATCAAATAATGATGAAATATGGGAGGTGGTAGATGTTTTCATCCTTTAACAAGCTGCCCACACCACCAAGAAATACTTCAATCATGATCACATTTCAGAAACAGTCACATTTTCAATCTTCGTCCGTCCGGACCACCAACAATTCCCTCCCTCATACAGATGCAAAAAAAAAAAAAAAGGTCGGGATAATGGAAGATGTCAAGAAGAAGTAAATAATTCCCTCAGTATTTCCAAGTCCTAAGGACCTAATGCAATATCTTACGATATGCACATTTACGTTGAAATTCCAACAGACACCAAAGGGGAGAAGCACAAAAAAATTAGAGGTAGAATAGCATGAATGGATAAGTCACATACCGTAATAAATTGTGGAGGGTCATCAAGACTAGATGAACCAAGAATAATTTCCCTCTTTAGCTTTGTGGTTAATTTATGACAAACTCGCAGCTGGAAAAAGAATAGCCATTGCAATAAACATAAGAACGAATGTAACAAGAATAACATCATATAATAGTAGTTTGCATAATGGCATAAAATGAGCCTGAGGATTAGGAAAGCCTTATGAAACAAAAAGAAACAGAGGCTTACCTCTGATCTAGTTGCCCCACCAACTATAAACACGAAAATCCGTTGACCCATGCTCTTAAAATCGCTAGATGCATGCTTCAAAATTGAATCACTACAAGAAAGGAGGAATAAGCTACTTTTTCTAAAATTAAAACCAATATTTGCAACAGAAGGCATCAATAAATGTATAAAAGCAACACTCTAAAGGTGGAAAGTCATCAAATGTTTTTAATCCATTATCTTATATCAGCAGGGTGAAGAAGTAATGCCAACTAAAAATGCATTCAAGAAGAAATAGTAAAATATGTTACTTGTGTTGAAGTAGGAAGATAGACTGGCCTTTAAAAAGTAAGCAGGTATTTCAAGCCTATGATCAGTATTATTAGCCATTTGGTGCCAATGTGTATGGAAACAGTACAAAAACAAAAAACAACTTGAGCTTAAGAATACCTTGAATAGCCATCATCAGAGTTTCGAGGGCGGGCCCATGTTGCTGTCCGTCTTGATCTCACTGAATGTGCAGCTGGAATTTCCCCTGTTCTTACTGATGCAGAATTAGAGTTCCCGTGGAATGTTGCACTTGGGTCATTCATACATGGGTAGTCATTCTTTGCGAGTTCACCTTTGCTCAATTTTTCAATGAGTACCTGAGGTGATAATAGCATCAGCAAGGCGTTGTGTTCTTTCCAAGTAGTGTCGTACCAGCTGTTTCTTATTTGAGTTTGTAATCAACTATACAGTTTTCTCTAACTCATCAAATGAAGCATTAAAAGGTCAAAAGATGAATTCCATTTACTGACATCAAGGTCTCAAACTAGTACCCAAGATCAATAAAGATCATAGCATGGACAAAGCTTTACCAGACCGTATAGGTTGATCTTGGTTGAACAACTAAAATTAGAGGTACCTCTATCATAGGGTAGAAACGTGATAGTTGCCATGCCACTTCTTCACCAGGACGGTCTTTTCTGGCAGCGTGTTTTTTCTGAAACAAATTTGCAAAAGAAATAGTAGTTATTGTTAGGCAGTCTGATTTAATTCTGCATCAGAATTCGGGAACCAATTTCACTATACCTTGTGTACATCAAACTTCAAGGAGAAAGGCACAACAGAGCTTTTTTTGCTGTCTGCTGCGCCCTCAAGCAATCTCATGTTATACACAGCATTCATATCTTCTTGCGGCAACCTAGCAAGCTACAAGCATATAGGGTCAGTAAAAGAAGCTAAAATTAGATGACGTTTTGATGCATGTAACACAAAATTTTGACCAAGTCATAACAAAGATGACATTTTCAACATGTGAAATAGATTAAAATGCGAATCTGCTGAGCAGTCCACATTGACATCTGCAGTGATGTGTGATCAGTATGAGTTGCAAACATGCACAAATACCCGTGGATAACCAAGCTCCTTTTTTCCCTTTCTTTTTTGCCCAGGGATTCTTAAAGGGAGAAGAAGTCTTCATTTCAGTTAATACTTCTGTTTGTAAAGAAATAGGCAGTGGTGCAATCTGCTTACCAGTTAACGCAACAATTGTGGAGAACTCAAATAAACTAAAAGTTACGTGCAAAATGCATATACATATATATGCATACATATAAATACAAGTATATAGATACATACATACATGCATACATACATACATATATATATATATATATGAAAGCACAAGAGTGCATGCACACACACACACACATATGACATATGTATATGTATGTGTGTATGTGGTAGCTAGGTCTTGAATGATTTACTATTTTTGAGAAGCTCATAAAGAATGAGAAATGGGTTCTCTAAAAGTAATCAAGAAAACTAACCTCCACTAGTTTTGCAACTTTGTCTCCCTCAAACTTCTCAGGATGAACAGCTGCATAAATCATCAGCAAGCGCAACTTATTCTCACGTGTAACGTCCTGCAGGAGGAGGAAGGTAGGAAACTTAAAAGACATACATATCACAGTGAGAAGAATTCACAATTCAAATAGTTCTAACCTGGTTTGTTCTCAGGAAATTAATGACATCCTTGGTTCCAGCGTCTCCAAAAACAAGATCCTGCTCTAATTTCCCAACTTCTTTTAGCCCCAATTCCCTTATAATTCTGTTAATTTTTCCAGCAATCTGAAAAAAATGGCTTGTGTCAAACCATATTTCTTAGAGTACCTTATAATTTAAAAATGCAGATCAATACATGAATCATACTCCATAATTTTGTATATCATCAACTGTTTGTAAAGATGCAAGGCTCTCACTTGGTCTCTCCACTTGTTAATGCAGATACAAGGAGCAGAAATTATTCCTAAGGACAGCAATCAGGCAGATATAGAAGGCATTCAACTTGCAGTAGTGCTTTCACACGATTGGAACTCATATGCATCAGGACAGAGTGAATGCAGCAACAGAAATTATTAATTCTTATTACCCACGGAAGTATGATAGCATGGCCTTGCAAAAGGAACATGTTCGCAACAAGCACAGACGATTCTAAAATTTTCAAACTTTTCAGAATTGAGTTCATTGAGATGCAAGATTTTCTCCTACCAATTTCTACTGCTATTTTCATTTCCATTCTTGCAGAAATTCATATTCAACAAAATTCAGCATATGCATGTAAGAGAAGTAAATATCAACACAGTGACTCAAATTGTTGGCCCTGTTCCATATTGCTGTACCTTATCAGAAACTGCATACGAAAAATTTATCTGTCAAAAAGCTATGCATAGAATTGAAGCCATATTTACCATAATAGTTGCGAAGTGTCAGCTCTTATGAAAATAAGCATTCAAGATGGTGGCTGATAAGTAAACTGCTTTCAAACATTACTCCGTAAACTTAGAACGAGTCAAAAGGTAATGATACACAGCAAAAGACACTTTGATAGAATACAAGTATAAAGCATATGGATGCACTACTACAGCAATCTTGAAGGCATTCAGATAATCAATGAACACATTTCACATAAGAACTGCCATGATGTCATTTGAAGAAGCCCAAGATTGAAGACCTAGAAGCTGTCCCATAAACAACTTTAAAGTTCTTTTGCTTCAAGGTTTACAACAAAGGAGTAGAAAACAACTGGTCCACAAGAGAAGCAGAACCTAGAGGAAATACTAGTCTTAGATGTCAAAGTAATAGGTAGCTCACATTCAATAAGTGTTGTACTTCTTAAAATAGAAGGGTAACAGACTCAGGGGCCTGTTTGGGGTTATGCGAGCTTATTAAAAAGCATTTAAATTAGTAGAGCTTTCGGTCAAAGTACTTGTAAAGTGCTTAATCACATTGTTTGGGTGCATACTTGCATGTGCAATTTTGAATTTCTAAAACATATTTACTTCTTCATTTAGTTCAAAAATTTATAATAAGATTGCTAAGGTTTTTTTTTTTAATTTTTTGAAATACAAAAGTTGCACTAGAAGCATCAATTTTGAGCTCCTGCTGAAAGCACTTTAATAGCCAAAAGCTCTACTCCTAAATGAAAGGAATTATGCTCAGCAAACACATTAAAAGTGCTTTTATCCTCCAAAAGCACTTTTTTAGCAAAAGCACCGCAACCCCAAATAGGCCCTAAAACTGTATGGAACATTTATAAATTGTCCTGAGTACAAAAATGACAAATACAATTTTCCAAAACCCAAAAGTATAAATAAAATTGCAACATTACGATCAGGTATGTGACACTCACATCCACATGAAGGGAAAGCTTTTCAATCTGTTCACTGTATTGAGCACTTAACTAAAATTGCTAACAAAGAGCATCCAGGAAACATACTTCCAAAGAAGTCATACTTCCAAAGAAGTCATGTGCTTCTTCATTAAGTAAAGAAAACAGAAGTTAATCATGGATGGACAAAATGAAATTACGATTAAGTTCCAACACGAGTTTTGAAGGAACTATACAGGTGGTTCAAGAAAAGGGTAGTATAATCACACATCCCAATGGATAGACACTAGTCACCGAACACTTGACACTCTTAAGGTCTAGTCAATCAGAAAAACAAATAAATGAAATATTCATGGGTTATCATGACTTAAACACCTAAATGTTCGATATTCCAACTTGATTTGAGGAAGAAAATGTTGAGCCTTATAAGGATAAAGATAATGACCCAAACTCACACTATAGAGGAGGCTGATTAATTAAATCACATGCAGAAGTCTTCCAGATCTACATAACACAAGCCTCAATGAACAAAAGTAAACCAGTGTATCTTATTTTAATGGAAACACAAAAATGACCTTAATCTGAAGTCAAAACATTAAAAATCCTCTCTCAGAACAATAGTTGACCACTTTAAAGATAAAAATCATGTGCAATTTGACTTTTAGCTTGTTTGCACAGGAAATATAAATGTTGTCTAGATACAAGGATGATGGATAAATAGGATAAGTGCAAAGAAGAAACCAAAATCGAGACTTCCCACACAATCAGTCTAGTGGATAATCAACAGAACGCCATTAATGATAAAAAAGAAAAACAAACCTTGAACCTTGATGCATTTGTGCAGCTTTGTTCTTTGTTACAAAGTTTGTCATCTTCTCATGCAACCGTTCATTAGCCTGACAATAAAGTTCATGATCAGAGAGAATCCCAACTAAAACAGTTCTCAATCAAATTATTAAGCACCACGCATACATCTGCTATGTGCGAATGACGAAGCTCCAGCCAGATAGGATCATGATCCTCCAATAGGACCTCTTTTTTCTCAGGAACACCAGTTTTGCTTGGAACCTAGTCAGAGTAATTATTACGTGGGCAGCTGAGTCATCCAAGTATTTAAAGCAACAGGGATGTGACTTTAAACTTACCTCATGGACATATTTATTACCCTCCATATTTAATAGATCATGGCACATGGCATCATATGTCCATTCATGTATAATAGGAGCAATCTATCCAATCATTTGAAAAACAATAAAAAGGGTATGTCAAAATTGTATAAATATATCTATGCACTGAACCACAAGATTAACCAATTGGTGCAACTAAAATACCTGGTCCACTGATCTATCAAGAATAAGCAATTCACATGTTTCTGTTTGTGGGTAATTTGGGAGGTTAGCTTTGTATTTCATAAGACAATTCCAAACGGCAGCAGCAAGCTTTGTAGGAATTAGATCACGGAATGTTGTCATTGTAGTAGGATCAAGAGATTTGGCTGCACGGTAGCGCACAAAAGGAAACTCCTGTAGAAAATCAATATCAAGAATGCTTCATGATTGTTGTATGCAGTACTAATCATGATTGAAGAATTTTCATTTACTTACCCGCAGAGAAGCAAAAACGGTAGCAATGCTGGTGCCCATTGCGTTCAAACATGCATCAACTTTGCGTGAACTTTCTTCGTCACCAAAAAGTTCCTCCAAAGCCCTCTCGTTATCTGTGATGAAACCCTAGATATTGACAGCAATTATACAATCACAAAAGTTTAAACTATATAAAAGCAGAGTAGCCAAGGGTAAAACATTACATTTTAGTCCTAGAGGTTTCATTCATTTGCTATTTTATTTGTATATAATAATTCTGAAGAGTTAATAAAATAGGTTTTCATAATTTATCATCTTAATCTTAGGGAGTTAAGCCACTTCTATTCATATCATCCAAAAAAATTCTTAAACTTTAATTTTTTTCCAGCCATTAAAATCCGATTTGAAACTATAGAGATTTCAAATGAAGTTTAAGATTTAAAAAGAAATAATTCATTTAAAACCAACTATAAATGATTAAGTAATGCAACATCACATACCTGGCTATCTATGGTGAAGTATTCCAAGTTCATCTGCAGGTTCCATGCCCAAAATGACAATTTTAACAGACTATATAAATATTTAGAAACAACAAACAGAATCTCACAATAGATTTCGTGACTAGAATTGTGTAACCTCTCTCAGAGCACCAATGCGAGATAAAACACTTGTATCCCTCTTTATCTGGTTAACCAACTCTCTGGGCACAGGTGAACTAAAGAATACAAATGCCCTGACAAGGAAATAAGGGTAGGGAGAGAGAGAGAGAAGCAAGTTACAATCTGATTATCAGAAACTCCTCTTTCATTTTTCTTCCTAGAAGGTGGAAGAGAACTAAAATAAGTAGGCAAAAAATGAACTATAAAGTTCTCTACGTACTTTTTATACAAAGGCGATCTTCCGGCCATGTCAGACAAGAAGATGACAACACTGCACATCAAAAGAAAAGGAGAAATGAGTCAGCAGGAATAGCTGTTATGCCCTGAATACCAAAATCAAAAGTTACAAATATCATATGTTCGATAAACAGAATCTGATGTATGAAACACTGCAGCGGATTAAATCAGAATTAAAGGACCCTAAATCATCAATTGGCGTGAGTTTTCAAAGTAAACACCAAAGGCAGAATCAAACAACCATAAAACTCAAGAATCCAGGTAAAAATTGGAATCTTTAAAAGCAATTCTTGTTTAAGCAAGCAATTCAATGGAAAAGAAAGGGGCATATCTACCTAATCTTTCACATAAACGGTAAGTATAGTTAGATCACTTTCCAGCTTATAAAGTATTCGCTATGACATCACACACCATCAAGAGGATTAGACAAGTTAGGTTGTTTAAAAATATCGAACTAAAAGTTTGAGAAGTTAATGGAAATTACTTTTCTTTGGTTGGCTGAATAAAATATATAGCATCCATCGTAGGTAAAGGCTGCCGTCGCCTGTGTATGTCCTCCACCACTGAAGCCAAAATGGACATTATAAGTTCACAAAATCAGCTTAAGCATGTTAACATATGAAACAGCACAAATATGCATAATCATAATTAGCCCTTCAAAGCTTTCAAGCTATTTGATAAACTTGAGCACAGCAAAATTTTTGCACCAGGTAATCTGAATAACATGAAAAAGTAAGCCAGCCCCACCAAACAACAAGAAAAGAAAGCAAAAAAAAAAAAGGAAAGCACAACACAATTGTACTAGGTGTTTGACAATTTAACAACAGGTTATAGCTTTGAAATAAACTTTTGGCTTACCACTTTGGCTGTGAAATAAGTGGACTCTTCTCCATACAAATAAAAGGGATTTCAACTATATTTTGCTGTCTTACTGCAGAAACAGATATAGCAACTTCTTGCGTACACATTAACATTATTTCAATCCCAGCAAGTCAAGGAAACTTAATTATTTTGTCATGATTCTCCTAGAAAACACCAATTTTGGAGAAATATACAGTCGCAAAAGCTATTCAACTCAAGTCACCTGAAAGTGGGCCTCAAAATGCTTTATACAGAGAGAAGTCTGAGGCCATGCATACAAAATTGGGTGGAACCTTATATTACATACATGCCATGTAGACAACAAGGGTCCCAATACTAAAGCCAGAATTACAGAAGAAAAGTCATTGACCAAAGTTAAGCCATAATAGGTCAAGCAAATCTGACAAGCCACTGTGGTCCAAAAAATATGTATAAACCAGAATTTGTGCTTAAATTGACACATTCTTTGGCCAACTCAATATTTATGTCAACAATACATCTAACCCCACATATTACAAAGCCAATTATTATTCTCAATATATCTTTAATTTTGTAATGAATAAGCATAACTGTCCCTTAACCCTTTTCTCTTCATATATTCTCACTGGTCACAATTTCATGCTTATGATCTCTGATATAAAACCATCATCTAAATGATACAGGAAGTAAGAGCAATGAGTAGTCACCGCTGCAAAATACTGAGTACCAGATATGGAAAGCTGTAGTTTTGACATTTAATGGAATCTAATAAGAAAAATATATTAAACAAGCTCATCTGATAGAAAAAAATACACGCATTAAGGGCACAATGTTGCATATAAATCCTGCCATGTCACACATCAGAATAAGAAAATGGCGAGCAAAATAAACATTCTGGAAGACCAGCCTTCTAAACTTACATGAAACTCCTTCCTCCGTAATGTCCGCCATCTTGCATGCGCATGACATTATTTTGACAGTCACTTTGTCCATGACAAGCACCTATACATATGGCAGTAAAAAAGAGACAGTAATTAAACAGAACGAAGACAGACACAGAAACAGAATAAGAACCAAAAGAGGAAAACCAAAGGATGACAAGAAAAGGTCAAGAAACTAAATTTGAGCTATAGAAACATATTAAGCTTCACATTAATAAAAAAAAAAACAATAACACTGGTATTATACTTTAAGCAAAATAGTTTGGCAGCAAAATCATTCTTATCACCCAAAAAAAAAAATAATGGTGGAAAGTTTAACCCAAGGAATTAAGTAAAAACAACAAATTCTATTATGTAAGAACTCATTACCAAATTGAGAAAGCTAATAATGTAGCAACAGTAGCACCAAATGGTGACTAAACATAAATTCAAGTTGTTCACACCTTCCAGGTTGATTTAGAATCTCCTGTTTTTGTAGATCGAAGCATTTCATATAACAATCCTGCAAAAGGTACAAAGGACTATATGAAAAAGATCAAAGAACTACTTCCCTTGCTATGTGTATAAGGATGCAATACCACAATCAGTAAACAGTTGTGATTGCACAAAGACTAAACAAAGACTAACTTTATCACAAAAAAGATATAACTATTATGTGTTATATACATGACAAACATGAGGAAAGTAACACGTTCAGGTAGCTCAATCTGCAAAAGATAATAGAAAGGATTATTAATCATATTTCTTCATCATAAACAGCACAGAGTACCAAGAATTAGGGTATCAGAAGGAATTTGTACAGCCATGCGGAATTTTTTTAACCAAGGGACAAGAATAGACAACAAATAAGCCATCCATTTGAGGAGCAACGTCTAGTGAAAAACTTGGACCACAGAACTGAAGACTATAGCACATCAATTTTGTTCCATAACTTCCATATATCTATCAGCGTTAGGATTTGTTCCCATGCTTCAAGTCCTATGCTGTTGCATCCCTAACCAACAAATGGGGGTCATAGGCTTTTAGACATGTATGTTTGGAATTATTCTTTGTACTAAAAACCATACACTGAGGGTCATATTAAACCCATATTCCCATCCACCCTACAGCAGGGGCCAAACCAGCCTAAGTCACTGAAAATGCACCTTGTGCATAAAATATTTTAAGAAAAACTAGTGGGAATCTAGTACAAGATGAACCTGTAGAGCAAATACATGGACCAGAACTAGTTTATCATGTCAAAATGGATGCTCATGACAAATATGACTCTTCTCAAACATACTCCAGTAATTTTAGCTACAGTGAAACTCTAACCAACAGCATAAGGAGTAAATTACTATGAATTTTAAAGTACATTAAAGTGCAGATGCAAATTCTAGTTAATGTACAGTGAATTTCACTTTAAATTAATACAAGGGATGGTCTTCATCCTGACCCTAGGCATTCTTTTTTAGTGATAATTTTTGTTACTGTCTATACAAATTTGACTTGGCTTCAGTTATGCATGACGAGAAGATGACTAGAAACATGGACTAGGCGATGATGCAAAACCAATTGGCAAGAGAAGAGTATGAAATAAAATTAAACATAAAGCTGAAGTTATAGATAATGTCATAATACATATCGACGACATCTAAGCATTTCAATAATTGCAAGTCAAGAATATCTAACAAAAAAACTTTAGAATATCTAACAAACGTCTTGGCTACCCACAAATGAAGCCTAAATTCAAGATAATCAAAAGCTTTATCTACATGAAATGATTCCTTATCCAACTTTTCACCATAAATTGAAATTCAATTTGAAATAACCGAACACATCATAGACATGCTATTGAGGTTAGTGAGTTAATATAAACATACGCTGACAAAACATTTTTCCCTTTTCTCAAATTGAATGAACTGGACCAACCAATTTATCTGCTAGGAAAATCAAGAATTATATTTTGACAATTCACTTCATGATTATACGTCTACAGATCCAAATTTTAGTAAATACTATGCATCTCCAAAAAATCAGCTCATCTCAAAGTGAAGCAAACCACAAGCTACGAGGCGTCTCTCAGAATTGAATACACGTCCACAATACAATAGGGCATGAATCTTCTTGAAAAAGTGACATCAGAAGTCTTCTCAATTACTACATGACAAATCTACTAGTAACAAATACAAGTTCCCACCTTTCAACAGATAATCAAACTTTTCGGCATGCGCCCTCCTGCTGTTCTCTATCATGAGTGAAAACATTTTTTATGGGCTGTACTCAATTGTCCAGGGTAGCAAGATAACTCAATGATCGACCCTCCCTATCAGCGATCCAATTCTCAGGTTAGGAAATTTATCCCGTAGACTAGTCTATTGCCCAAAACACTTCTAGCGTACTGGACTTAACAGTGAGCACTCATAAAGGCATCAATTTCTATTCTCAGCTACAATTCATTCAAGGTAATTAACCATTAGCTTCATTACTCACAACAAATATTGTTACTTAATTAACATTTCCTTTTTTCTCCACTACAAATTAAATAAGCATATACTGAGAGAATGAGAAAGAACAAAAAGAAAGCGAACAAAATCACATTTCACATTGCTCAGTAAAATTAACCGTTGCTGAATAAGTAAATCCGTCAAAATTCGATCACCAACTTTATACAGATAAAACATCATCCTCAAACCTCGAATCAACCATACTTCAACTAAATTAAACACCATTAAGTTAAGAAACTTACTTTCCCGGCTAATTTGTCGTAAATTTTTGTACTCGCCGCCCTGCGACGACGTATCGGAATCAGACATCGACATGATGAATTCAGCTCTCCAGTTTTCTTTTATCAAACCGACAAAAAACGATCGATCGGAGATCGGTTTGATCGAAATCCGGAGTGGTTTAGCGACAGAACGGCAGCGTTGGGGAAGAAATGGAGGGGTCCCGAAAGGTAATTATATGGGGGGCTTTACGGGTTGACTATTCACGCCCGACAGTTGAATATTTCGTGACCCGAACGCTACGGATAATTTCTTGCCTCTTGCTTGCTGGGTGACTAATTCAATATCCGGCAGTCGGAACCGGGTCGGACCGCAGAGCCGCGGACGGATGGTCACAAGTTGAAATCACTGTCATGCCCTTATCGGGGCTTTGGACTTTGGATTGTTTGACTAACCTTTCCGTGATAAGTAACTTATTTGAAATTATACATCTCAATCCCATCTTTTCCGGCAGATTTGATTTTCTAATTTTGGTTTGAGAGTTCTAAATTGCTCTATTTGGCAACTTTTTTTTTTTCTCAAAGTAGGATAAGATCCTATTTAAGAAGCGAAGAGGAAAATAAGAAAAATTGAATTTATGATCTCTAATTTTTTTAAAGATTCAATTTTAACTACAAAATCAAGACTTTTTCGATATTTGGCAGCTGATTTGAAATAATGTGTTCATTCTGCCTAATTGCGATTGTTTTACAAAAATAAAAATAAAAATAAAACGCTGACCCTTTAACTTCTACAAAATATGATTCTTATGTGTCAAATTGTTACACCAAGCTTTGGCTATTTTAGTATTTTTAACATGGTTTGTGTGGAGGAACTTTCAAGGAAGTATAACTATATATATTTGGAAAAAGAAAAAAAAAACCGTGTATATTCGTCAGTTGTTTGGTTTTGGAAGAAAGGTTTTGTGGAGGGTTGTAAATGCGTTTAATTTGAGGAAGGTGTGAAGGGTTAGATGACACGGTTAGGTTTTGTTGAGTTTAAGATAATTCAAATAATGCATACAAGTTAAGGATGGAAACCGTAAAAGGGCTTTTGTTTCTGGAAGCTTGGTCTGCTATACGATGTCAGAGGCCTATTTGCTTCTTCTAATCTTTTTGTTGGCATGTTCCGTGAACGGACGACGAAAAAACATAAGAAAGAAAAATCTTTGCATGGGAAGAAAATAGCGTCATAAAAATGTGAAATGGCGTGATGATTATACATACAACGTTTATTATAATACGATTAATTCAAGGTAAGATAGGATGAGTAGGAATCATAAACTTCTAAGATTACAGAGATAAGCCCGCGAAAGAGATATTTGTGTTTCATAGTTCCAAGGCGGCAATTTTTGTTGTATCACACACATGCTTTCATATGAAACACTAAAAACGTACTGCCTTTGCATTTCAATATAACATTATATGTTTTTACCTCAACTGATATTTTGTGTTTGAAGGGATAGTCTCGAGATTTGTAACGATTGCAGTCACTTTTCTTGAGTTTTGGAAAACTGCATAAACGCTCTCCTAGAAAGTATGTTTTGATAACAAATAGAGTGATGTAAGCATAAAAAGTCTAATGAATATCCTATATTGCCCCTATTTGATTTATAAAATAAATTAAATGACAAAAGAAATCAAATATTAGTGTTACTTGTCAATTCAAAAAATTTTATAGGAAAAATTTAGTCCATGTTTCAAGACATTATTTTTTTAATGTTTGGACTTTTTTTCTTTACTAAGTTGTGAAGAAATTATTTTTAACAAATGCATCCCTAGTAGTCAGTTATATATAAAACGAAGCAAGAAATCCATTTTAATGACTTAGGAATTGAATGTAATGTTTTAGGTGAGATGATGTTAGAGTTTTTGGATAAAGAAATATTTGCAAAATGCTGTTTATTTTTCCCTTACACTCACTTTTCACTTGGAATATATAGAGCTATCATAAACACTAGGGGATATAAGTGTAATTTTTTAAATTTCAAGGGAGGTGGCTGCAATCATCAGAAACCTCGGGGGAGCTTTATGAAATTATCGTCTTGTTTGAAACAACATTTGCAAAAGGTGCGATCTCTCCAAGATCATTTACAATTTCATCAACCTTGACCTTGTTTAAATGCTCAAAATTCGAAGCCTATTTCGGTGACAAATTGGTCGATTGCCATGAGAGTTGTAAACTTTATAAGAATGAATTAGCCGTTCAATAAATTAAGGTCAAAACCACAAATCAAGAAGAAGAGAGATTTTAAAAGCGCAACTAGGCCTCCAATGCATTGCTGTATTGTTATTCTCCATTTGGCAGACCTTTCAAGGACCAAATATTGTGCTTGCATCGATTTAATGAGTAGTACTTTGTAAAAGAGGATAGGATATACAGCAGAGGACCGCTTCAAATCCCGTCCCTGTTTTGGCAGAAAAACAGGATTGAGCATTTTTTTTTTCCTTTATTAAGTTCAGTGATTGCAAATGAATTTGAAACTCTTCCTAATACTAAATTGAAAAGCATCTTTATTCTTTTACACTTGTTACTTAGCGTGTGTGTTTTGCAATGCATATGTTGGAACTCTACAATTACCACGAATGATTTTACAGCCCCTTCCCAGTCGAAACTTCCTAGTTCCCAATTGATTAACCGGACACCAATCTGCTAGTTCAAACATTTTGATTAAGTATCCATCTTTCTTATAATTAATCGGAAATAGGTGCTGAAGAGGCTTTGATTTGGTAGTTAAAGGTTAAAATGCCAAAATATAGAGATTCTAAGTTCTAATTCCCCTATCTCCTCATCGTTCTTAAATCCCACCCCTCGCCTTCTTTTATCGGACTCATCAGAGCATCACATTTCATTTATTTGATTCTATTTTGTAATAACAATTCACTTATAGTTAGTTTTTTATACAATGCCAATATATACAGCATACGCTATCATGTTTGAATGTATGTCACATAATTTGAATTTGACTTTATGATATACATCTAGATGAAACATCAATTCTTCGTTTATTAAGTTATTTTGTGATCCAATCCGAGTATCTGGTGAATTTCTGCACCACATTCCACGATAACAGATTACAGAAGTCAGAAAATCTACACTGGCTAAACAAGTCCGTTCTTGTGGGAGGTCGCACCATGCAAGCTTTGGTCGGTTCATTATAACCGCAGCCTGCCATGGCAAAACCACAACCATTCCCTCAGAAAGAATCCTCACAACTTGCACGAGTAGGCTATTTTCAGTGCGACTCCCACGGGGCAATCTGCTAATTGCTGGGCCCTAAATGTGCGTTGCTGGTGCTGCCCGCAGAGAACAGCCTCAGCCCTGGATTTTCCACTACGGCAAACAATAACAGCTAATGAAACAAACAAAAACGATCATTTTGACTTGTATTGACATGATAGCACAACGTGAACTAAAGGAAGCTGCAAAAGTAAAGAAATTTCGTTTTCTTGTTTACGTACAAAAGACCATGATGTTGAGAAAGGAAAAAAAAAAAGAAAGAAAGAAAGAAAGAAAAGAAAAGCTTTGACAAAATTCGAAAGAATTGCATCTCATCCAGGGCAGCATGCACTTGACAGGAGAGGAAACTGAAGAAATTTGTGTCTAAAGTGACTAAACAGATGAAAATCCAAATTGACTTGGACCAACACACGAGAAACTCAATACCAAGATAACAACGAGAAAATGCCAAATTTTGTTGGTTTGACCCTTAGATTCTCAAAATCTAAGTAATTTGCATACAAAATCGTGCCCGTCAACACCCATATATTTCTTTTCTTTAATTTAATTAACAGAAGCAACAAAATGAGACAAATTAACAATTGACTAGTACTACAACTTGATCAAGTGATCGTACACGTTCTGCTATGACGGGGATGGGACCAAAACCTTTCCGCTGCTGTCAATGTTGTACCCGTTGTTGCTGTTGTAGTACCTGCAAAGAACCTTGCACTTGACGACATTGTCGTAGACATAGAACCCGGGTGTAACCATGATCCTAACTATAGTTGGCACCAGTTTTTGGGCCTTTTCTCCCCCCATGTCCTCCATGTAGATCGAATCGAAGGTCGCACCTTTGTCCACTCTGAAAATTGGTAGGCTTGGATGAACCGAATGAGCCAAAAGGTGCACCAACCACACAGCTTTAGACGCACCGAAAAAGGATTGCAGAAGCTGTTCGGGCCACGCACGATTCCACCCCAGCATAGCCACAATCTCGCTCATTTTCCTATCGCAAAACCTGCTAAAATCTTCGCTAAAATGCTTGGTCCCTCTATTCAGAACTTCATCCCAGGTCAGCCCTTGTAGCCGGTTGAAGGACGCGAAATTTGATTCACAAGAGTCAATGGGATTCAAAATCAAGTTTGGAGCACTCTTTTGGAACCCAATCGATTCAAAATCTTCGAAGAAGGCTCTGTTCAATAGCGCTTCAAGATACAGAAGCAAACCTCTCGGATTTCTTGATATGGAAATCTTGACTTCATAATGTTGAAGAAGCGATGATATTCGATCATAAACCTTGTTTCCCATTTGTCTGAGCTGAAGAGTCAAAGATCGAGATAAAAGCCTGATTGAAGACCGAGCCTCAGAAACTGAAACCAAGAAATGCTCAATCACTTTTCCTTGATCGTGACCAACTTTTACCAGCTGATAATTCACTTGAGGTTTAGAATTAGAACACTTGTTGGCTTGTAACTGCTGGTGGGCATTAGCATTATTATTACCAGCACAAACCTCGAGCCCGGACTTCAAATTGTGACAGTATATCTCAAGCTTGTTCAGCTTCTTTTCCAACTCAGCCATGGAATACTTCAACCGGGATGCCTCCAGAATCGCCTCATCTCTTTTTCTGGTAGCTTGAATGAGTTTATGAGAAAGCTCAGCCGCAGCAACCTTCCATTGCTCCTCCCCAGGAACTGCTAATCCCTGATCATCTGATGATCTGGGGCTTTTCTTTATCAAATTAGAGAAAATAGACCTGAAAATACCATTTGGGCTGGTTAAAGATTGTCTATTAACTCCATTGTTGTCCACAGGGACGACGGATATCTTCTCCCGGGTACCCGGCCTACACTTATTGCATGAGATCCCACGGTCGTCTTCCCCGGCAACTTCACCATTCTCCAACTTTTTTCTGGTGCTCTTTTCTTTGCTTCTCTTTTCTGAAGAATTTTGATGCAATGGCGTCGGGTTGTGGTGTCTCGGGTCAGTTGAATCACTAGGGGTCGTCG